TTTAATCCATTCATGTCGCCAACATGATTGGTTGATTGATTTGTTTTGTTTGTGGCTTCCCCATCTTATTACAGTGGCACAAATCTCTGATCATCATCGCAATTTTGCATTTAGCCTCTAAATGGCACATGATAATTTTTCTCTAGAAATTGTCGTATTTAATATTTCAATCCATTCATGCTGTAGTTCTTCAACTTAGCAAAGACCCTTGAACCTCAGGAGTCTGAATGTGTTCTTGAAGATCCTTCCTTTCAAGGTGTCAGAAATGCCCCTAGGCGATATCTCTTGGGGACTACTTCACGTCAACCGACCTGAAGAAGGCTTATTTCCATGTCCCAATCGCTTCTAAGTTTTGCAGGTTTCTACGAGTTGCCATTCAGGGGGTACACTACCAGTTTAGAGTGCTTCCTTTCGGACTCTCTCTGGCTCCTTCGGTCTTTACAAAGTGTCACAGGTTATAATGTCTACTGAGCCAATCCTGTTCACGGGAGTCGGAGATAACTTGTGTTTCCTCAGTGTATGGCCTATCTGTCCCAATGGCTCGATAAGGTGCCAATGTTGGCTGGTGTTACGATAGATCCAAGAGGTTGACGAGTTGGAGCGCAATGTGGCAAAGAGAGATGGAACAGGGGACATGTGCCGAGCTGCAGAGCATGCTCCATATCGATGCCCTGGAGTGCATGCCTGCTCAACTCGCACTGCATTGTTTTCTCCTTGTTCTGGAAGGTCGGCTGTGGTGGTCAGGTTGGCGAAAACGAGTGTGGTTTTCTACATCAACCACCAAGGGGGCACTCGGTCGGTGTTCTTGCTTGTGATGGCGCAACAGTTGTTGACTTGGGCTAGTCCAGATCTTGCCCGTCTGAGGGTCATGTATGGGGTTCTGAATGTGTCGGCAGATTTATTGTATCCCCACGGTTTGAAGCCAGGCGAGTGGCAGCTTCAATCAAAGGTGGCGGACTTAATTAACAATTGTAAACCACTTTGAGACTCAGATCTGCAGTGAAAAGGCGGTATATAAATAAAAGCTTACTTACTTACTACTTACTTACTTCATCTGGAAATGACTCGGTGGGGCAAGGACTGCACACTGTCCTCCGTGGTTGACATTGATTTTTTTTTAATGTTAGTTTTATTGAATGCAAATGCAACTTGTATTCTCTAGCAGAGTCTAGCTTTATATGCTCCAAAACATCAATGTTTTGTCATCAATTATGTCAAGGGTTTTGTTTTTTTCACTGCTAAAGGTAACTCAGAGTATTTCTTGAATCATTTTTTACTTTGTAACTTGCCCAACACTGCTTCTCACCTCCTTGCCAGACAGCATAATGTTATTCAATGGACCATGGCTTAAAAGCTACAACGTACATTCTGTTACACACACTGCAAACGCTTCAATACAACATGAGCAGAGATTTTGCCGATAATGGCTTATTCGTACAGGGACTAGAATGTCCTGACTGCACACTGTGCATTTAACTTTTTGCCCTGTTAAAGGACTGTGTTAGGCCTGAGGATGCAACAAGTAGGTTTGTAATGAGAGATCAGAGGGCCAGTTTTATCATAGGCAATAAAACATGAGAAGTGTGTGTTAATAAGACCTCTGGAGGATTGTCAAGGAAGGGTGAAAGTTGTTGGGCCCCAGGATCAAAGACATGTCTGCTCAGAGTGGAGTGGTTAGAAGAGAGGGCGCCCCGGCACAAGTGACACATATGAACATACACTTAGATGCACACAAGGGGAATGGAAAGATATTTTCAACCATAGCAACGAGAAATGAGAACTTACTCAGGGCTGTATGGTCAGAACACATGAATTCATCTTTAAAAAAAGATTCAGTAAGAAAAGCAAGGAACTAACAAAAACAAAGCTCAAGCAACTGGAACTGAAATCTTGTAGAAACCAATGCATCAAATAAATGAGACCGTTTGCATTTTTGAAGAGGCTGTACAGCACCTCCTCTCCCTCATGCACTGCTGCTGCTGAGAGGTCAGGACTCAGGAGTGAAGACACAACTGTGGAGCAGCTGCACTCCACGGTGACAGAAGCCTTCCCAATTTATTTTGATTGGCCGGCTTTATGCGTGCCAAGGGGAGATTTCCCATGGGTGCCAACGCTTTCTGGCTTAAAGCTCTCAAAGTCTGATCCTATAGTCACAAATGAAAGCTCTTCTCTCTTTCTGACACATGAGAATGTCTGCTGCTTTTACCTGTAGCAAGCCCACCCAGCGCCATTGGAACAAACAATATGACGACAATATGTTCCATATTTTCTGTCATTCATTCAAACCAATTCAAGGGACGTTTAGAAAAAGTAAGAAATTGTGATTAGTTGCGATGATTGGTCTATTATTGGTATTATTGGTTAACTGTGACATTAATAAACCGTTTTACAGAACTAATAAATATATATATACACTGGGGCAAAAAAGTATTTAGTCAGCCACCAATTGTGCAAGTTCTCCCACTTAAAATAATGACAGAGGTCTGTAATTTTCATCATAGGTACACTTCAACTGTGACAGACAGAATGTGGAAAAAAAATCCAGAAATTCACATTGTAGGATTTTTAAAGAATTTATTTGTAAATTATGGTGGAAAATAAGTATTTGGTCAATAAATGGTGTTCTTGGAATGCAACTCAGTATTCTTCTTCCTCCAAACACAACAAGTTGAGTTTATACCAAAAAGTTCTACTTTGGTTTCAGCTGACCACATGACATTCTCCCAATCCTCTGCTGTATCATCCATGTGCTCTCTGGCAAACTTCAGACGGGCCTGGACATGCACTGGCCTCAGCAGGGGGACACTTCTGGCACTGCAGGATTTGATTCCCTGTCGTCGTAGTGTGTTACTGATGGTAACCTTTGTTACTTTGGTCCCAGCTCTCTGCAGGTCATTCACCAGGTCCCCCCGTGTGGTTCTGGGTTTTTTAATCACCGTTCTCATGATCATTTTGACCCCACGGGATGAGATCTTGCGTGGAGCCCCAGATTGAGGGAGATTATCAGTGGTTGAAATATCGTTTTGGGCTACATTTGGGCTATCTTTTATACAGATGAGTTCAAACAGGTGCCATTAATACAGGTAACGAGTGGAGGACAGATGGTATGGTTTTTTTCACATTCTGTCTCTCACAGTTGAAGTGTACCTATGATGAAAATTACAGACCTCTGTCATTATTTTAAGTGGGAGAACTTGCACAATCGGTGGCTGACTAAATACTTTTTTTTCTCCACTGTATATTTATTAGTTGTCCATCAAAATAGCATAAAAAAGAACAAAAAAGAGCAAGAAAAAGACATGATACAGTAGGTATGGTGTCCTGTGGATGAGGTGCCAGATGTGTTCCCCTGCATACAGTAAACCAGTACATGTCCAGGACCGTCTGAAGCTTGATAGAGAGTATTTGGATGATTCAGAAGAGGATTGGTACAATGTTCTATGGTCAGATGAAAATGTTGTTAATATATACAGTCTATGGGAACAGACAAAGAACCTCATTCAACCTGTGAAGCATGGGGGTGGAAACTTTGTGCTTTGGGGCTCTTTTTCTGCAAGGGAACCAGAACAATTGATCCGTTTACAGGAAAGGATGAATGAGGCCATGTATTGTGAAATTTTAAATGAAAAGCTTCTTCCATCAGCAAGGGCAATGAAGATGAAATGTGGCTGGGTCTTTCAACATGACAATAATTGTAAATACAGAAGGATTTCAGGGTCCTGGAGTGGCCTAGCCACTTTAGATTGCAAGCATCTCTAGTAGATTTTTTGTCCCACTGCCTCTGTATATGCTTTATTGATATAAAAGTTTGATTAATACCTTTAAGCCAGATGAGAGCATCCCAGCACTTCCCCAGAAGGCGTTATTCTTAACATTAAACCTGATATAAAACTTATGTTTTAGGAGTTTTGTGTAATAGAATACACATACTGAACCAGAATTGAACAGAATTATTACCAAGTCGTGTGTCAAACATATGTCAAGACTTAAAGGATGTACTGGGCAGTCGACGGCCTTCCCACCAGGCGGTTTTTTGGCCATACAGTAGAGATATCTTTTTTTACCTGTGTTATACCACCACCTACTGATCAAAAAGTCACATACATAATCTTACCAACCAGCCAGAGCAAAAATAAACACACTCCCGCTGTCATGAAGAGGACGTTGAGCTGTTCTCATCGCGCTGTCAAGTCAGCATGATCGGTGTGTGTAACGCTGACAGGGACAACACAAATACAATAAAACGCTTACTTTTACATTTAATGGCGCACGAAAATCACTTCAAAAAATACTGCATGAACATTATAGTTGCAAGAAAAAAATGAATAAGCAAATAATACCGTAAATCAAAAAATCAACAGCATCCGTTATGTGCAAAGAACATGATTTATCTCATTTCAAACTGATGTGTGACATGTTTGCTCACACACATTCAAAATGGACAATAAATCATTTGATTTGTCTTGCTAAATTAATATTTTCTGCAGAGTAATGCTACAGTGTATGAGTAATATATTGTTTTAATGTGAAATAATGAGGAAGAAAGTATGATTTCAGCTTTTAATGATCAGCAGAGGGTCCACAGACAGTACGAAGAGAACACAGCATAGATGGAGAAGAGAACCCACACACATACAATGATAATAATGATAATAATAATAAAAAATAATTATTATATATTATATGTATTATATTACTGTAGTGTAAAATAAAATAAAAACGCAACTTGATTAAATCATAGCATCCACGTCATTCTGAACGTGTAAAGCGCAAAGAAATGTTTTATTTCACGGTTTATTTGGATTATGCCTTGCCGTGAGATGTCGCTTCATTTCCTAGTCTAGCTCGGTCACGTGACACCGCAGACAGTCGGGCAGCATGGCGGACGTACATGTGCATTCGCAAAACAAACTGCCCCAAACGGAGAGCTAACAAGGGCAGTCTAGACGCCGCATCCGTGAAACGTCGTCTCTACCGTAACTAGATTTAATCTCGCAGAAATGGACGGTGAGGGCAAGCTGCAGTTCCCGTCTCTGCCTGCGACCGAAGAGGAGCTGCTTGTGAGTGCTATCAGCTAATAGCTAATGCTTCTAATATGCCCACAGATTATTGATTAAATTAGCAAGCAACGCCAATAGAAATAGTAGATCAACTGTGCATGTACATTAAAGCATGCACATGTACTAGCTGTCAGTCCGTCAGATGTCACCACTAGATCACCGTGTTTTGATGTTGGACTGGTTTGACTTTTTCCCCTTCACACTGTCTTGCAGGACTGGGCTTACCCTATGAGACGCGAAATGCAGGTTTGAGTTGTATTTATTATTTTGATTATCATGTCTTTAATCCATTTGTAAGTACTTTGATTCTGTCTTCCATCTTAGGAGATTTTACCAGGACTGTTCTTGGGTCCCTATTCTGCTGCTATGAAAAGCAAGGTAAGGCATTTTAATTCCCACCAGTTACCCTGTGAGCTAATATCCAATGACCCATCGTACTTTTTGTAGCTACCAATTCTGGAAAGGCACGGTATTACACACATTGTTTGTGTGCGTCAAGACGTTGAGGCGAATTTTATCAAGCCCAATTTTCCACATACATTTAGGTGAGTCAGTTTGTGTATTGACTGTGGTATTCAGCTATTTATGTTCACCTATTCCTTTTTTGCAGATACCTAGTGTTAGACATTGCAGACAAACCAGTGGAGAATATAATTAGAATATTCCCTATGGTGAGTTTAAAATCATTTGTCTTGTTTTTTATTGGGCAAATATTATTTCATCTCTTTTATCCATGGTAACAGACAAAAGAATTTATTGACAACTGTTTAACATCTGGAGGTAAGAGCTTTGACTTTGACTATTGTATACATCAGATCTGAAACTAAAATACACTTTTAATAGGAAAAGTTCTTGTTCATGGGAATGCAGGGATTTCTAGAAGGTGAGAAGCGTACCGTAGGTTTTTTTTTCCAGCATCGAATCTGGTCAATATATAAACAATATTCTATTCTGCACAGTGCTGCCTTAGTGATTGCATACCTGATGGAAACATTTGGAATGAAATACAGGTACTACTTTTTTACATTACGCAAAATTATTATATCATTTTGTTATAATATAGTCTACCATCTTTCTTGTAGGGATGCATTTAGTCATGTTCAGGACAGAAGGTTCTGCATCAACCCCAATGTTGGCTTTGTGCATCAACTACAAGTAATAAAGGTTGCGTTTAATACCCATCTACATGTACATGCATTGAGTAATTCATGTACATTTTTCCTAGGAATATGAGGCTATTTATTTGGCCAAATTGACTATTAAAATGATGTCACCAATGCAGCTGGGTAGATCTTTCTTGCAAGCTGGAATGCCAGGTTTGTATTTTAAAATCTCGATTTACTTTAAATGCTAAACATCCTTCTTGATCAGTGTTGGGTGTAACTTAAGAACCCTAAGTAATCTAGTTACTTTATACAAATTAGTGTATTGCTGTATTGGTTTTGAAACTTATTAAGCCGCGTTCAGACCGGATCATGCGTTGCGTTGACTTTCAATGCAAAGTCAATGGTGATGCGTGTTTGAGCGTGGAACTGCATGTGCATCTCTGGATGCACGCACGGACTGTGGTAGAGAGGCACGAACTGCGCGGCAGAGGTGCAGGAGCCAAAAATCGACACACGCAGGAGATTAATATTGCTGAGCGTTTCCTCGGACGCTCGTGCAGCGACCAATCAGAGAGCCACAAAGTGGTCACGGGGACATTAGCGGTCTGAGCGAGCAGACTGAACATACTCGTAAACAGCCAAAACAGGAGCTACACCAGGACTAAACCAGGGTTGACAATGGGGGACATAGTGCTTGTGAACATATGTTTTCATGCTCCCGTGACTTTATGCAACCGTTTAATAATAAAATAAACTCATGGAACACCTCCATGAACACATACTGCTGTTATATAAAGTCTCTGGAAGGTCTCTGGACATAGAGACGCTGCAGAGCTGCATTATTGGAAAAGAATTTACACAAAAAGCCGCTAGCTTAACTCTGTTAGCATCAAAGTCCGCCCTCTACTTTCGCCACTTCCGGCGGGCGCCACCGCAGCCCAGGACTTCTGATGTGAAGACCCCTGCGTCTGAAAATTAGAGACTGTGCGTCTGGTCCGCTATGCGTCAGCGTTGCTGGTCTGAACGCGCCTTTACTCTCACACAGTTTAAAGAGATAAACACACATTTTACTTGGAGCATTTTGCGTGTGGTTTAACCCACAGTGATGCAGTCACTCAAACAGAACAGGAGCAGTGTGTGGACATTTGTATTATTGATGACTCAAATACATTCTGATAATCAATAGATACATCAAAAGCTGAAAGTACATCATGGTGCAAATGTTATTGCAAAGTTCTTGAAATGTAACTTTCTACTTCTAATCGTTGACAGGGAGTCGTAAGCGCAGCCTGGAGGAAGATGAAGACTTTGGAACAATGCAGGTTACAGCCGCACAGAATGGATAAGCTTGGCTTAACGGCGGTGTACTGCACTTATTTTTACATTTTTAATGGGTTTAAAAATGTAGATATTTGAACTTTTTTCTACAGGGGAGGGATAGGGGATGACTCATGTCTGAGACATGGCTTTTTGCAGGGATTTTTTGTTTTTTCTTTGTATGCACTGATGGCCGACTTTTTGCAGTTTTATAGTATTTAAAGCATTTTGCATTTGCAGCGGGACAGTATTGCAATAATGCACTTTCGATACTTGAATTTGTGTAGATCTTCAGGAAAGGGCAGTTCGGTAAGCCAAACAGGAAAGTTGAGAATGGAATAATTGCCTTTCTATTGGATTATGGTCTTAAACAGGTTTAATCAATAGTAACAATTCGGGAATAGTAACTGATTAATAAAACAAGTCTTGATCGATGAGTGACTTTTTTATAAACTGAAGAATCTTTTCATTCCCACAGGAATGTTGCCATAATCTTGGTATGTGTCAAACAATCTTTGGACAATTTGGATCAATCCAGTTCATTATTCTGGCATTTATAGGCCATTTGTATGGGTGCATTTGTATTTGTTGAATATTTTGCACAAAAAGCTGACAATTTTTGAGGCAGCATGTTGTGGCCCAATTACTCTTTCTGATGGGACAAGACTTAGGTACCCCAGTGCCCTGTTGTGAGAAGCAGCGTTTGCAAGCTCTTGAGTTGTAAATTATGTTTTAACAAGCACTGAGAAATCCTAACCGGGTAACTTTGGGGCGTCAACCATGCTCAAACCATGCTGTTGCGCGTACCTTCCCAGAAACGCTGATCTGAACAATGATCAGTCAGGGATAAAATGCACTTCTCATAGGAACAAGAAATATCTAACATATTTCAAAGTACATCACAGTTGAAGCCAGAGCATGTGCAGAAAGGTGGCAAAAGATCAGTGTGAAATTCATAGGATTGGTTAGTGTTTATAATTGATATTTATATTGATATGCTTTTAAAATATGGACTATTTGAATGTGAACGAGTCAAACAATTCAGATGCAATCAAAAAACATAGCAAGTATTAATTGTGATTGTCACATCGGCCTGCACCAGTTAAACCTGAACTTACTCCAAAACCAAACTGACTTAGAGCAACATGCCTCTAAATGTCACATTGTATTATTTCAAATTCATAATTATTCGTGGCTCAAAACAATTGAATACAGAAAATATTTTATTTTTTCAAAACTGACATTTTAAAATAAATTACATTAAATAGTCTTTTCAAGAATTCTAGTATTAGAAGTATAAATAGGATAGCTCGATTGTATTCCCCAGTATTAAAATGTCCCATAAACCTTCACTTAATGCACAATATAACTTTTCAATCTCTCGAATAAAAACTTGTTCCTGCTCAATAACAAAACACATTTTCCTTGCACCGTTTTTGAATGTAGTGATAAAAAGTTCAATTTCATATGACACCCGACATAATGATTGGCTTCACATAGTACTATGATTTGGAACAGCAGCATTCTCATAAATCACAAAGGTGCATTTGCCAATACACTTCATGAACGAGATGGTTATAAGACGTCAGTACGATGTTTCAGCAGCTGTTCTGCGAAAGGGTCCATGTTCCGAAAGCTGCTTCGATATCAGTCAAAAAACCTACACTGCATGTAAGTCTCATCTGAAGCTTTGTAGCCAAACTTCTCATAGAAGGTGACATTTTTAGGTGCACATTCCAGTGTGATCTTATAGCATTCCAGTTTTTTGCTGAGTAGTATTAGAGTGGCGACCAGCCTTGGTAGAGAACCAAAGATGCATTAGTGTATTTTTTTTTTAAATAAAAAATTATGCACATAATTACTTTACTTACAATTTGCCCAACTGCTTTCCTCTGCATACATCGGTTACCACTACCTCCTCCACTCGACCTCGCTACAAAAACGGAAGTCACAGTTCATCAAAACACATCTTAAACATCGTAAATGGAACAAAACGCATACCTTTGCACAAGAGTGTATAAATTTGTGCTCCGTGATAAGTGTAGCTGTAGCAACAATTTGCCCTAGATGTGTATCCTCCACTACTATCACATAGTAGTCCCCAGTTTTCTTCATGTGATCAAACTTTTCTAGGAGAAAATTAAGTTATTAAGAGAGTTATGAGTTGTATAGAGACCTCCACTTGGCGCACGCACACACACAGGCATCAGAAAGCTAGTACATTATTACACATAACTGAAACCGACATATCTATCATTAGTCAAAATTTTATTATTTAAATTCACTTATAACGTGTGAACTTACTTATGAATTGCTCTGGTGTGACATCACCGGTTTGGGTAAGTTGAGAGAGAACCTTGAAAAAGCCTGAAAAAAAAAAAGGTTAGTTCCAGTGAGGGTTTCAGGGCTCCAACTACAAAAGTACTGGAGTGCTTACCTCTGTTGAAGTCTGCTATGCAGAGTGGCCGGAGTATAAGTCCCTCTCCAGGCTTTGATGGAGAGATGAACGGTGAAAAGGAGATGCCGTTATTACTCCAGTCTAACTCCTGAAGCAGGGCCGGGTCAAAGAGGGGAGTCTCGTCCATCAGCATACCTCCTGCCACACCAACAGAGTCAAGGGAATATCAATGACACGCCCCTGCTATAATATCACAAAGTCTTTTTATGACACGATACTACAGCTACTGTAGGCTTCTGAGCTTTGTCATGAACAAATACAGGCTGTAACTATGACCCTTGAACAGGCAAACAACATTTACACTTCATAGAAATGGCACAAAATGAGGGTATGGTCATTCAATTGACTGAGGGGCATAACTCATGAGCATGTAGTAATGTTCAGAAAATATGTCAAGGTCCCCTATGCATTCCACATGCATGACATGAAACTATGGAAGGTTTCATTTCCTCTCCTGAAGTACAGTCTATGGTCCTATACTGATCTTGTTACTAAGGCTTTTGATATCCACTTTTGTCTGTGCCTGAATCAAAGGGGAATGAAAATGTCTTCTGCATTTCTTATAGTACTTATTTCATAGGGTTGTACGTCAAATAACCATATGTAAGGAATATCTCAAAGTAGGGCTGTAATTAACAATTGTTTTCATTGAAAGTTAGTTGGAAAATTATTCTTTCAATTAATCTATTCAGTGTTTCGATCCCGAAGTTCGAATTGTGAATATCGGATTTAATATATATTAATTGGACCAAAATAAATCTTAAGTGATGCCCCAGGAAAACAGAGATATAAATTGTTACACATTAGGGGTTGTTCGATTAAAAATAAATACACAGAATACATACATTAATACATTTTCATTCTGCAGTTATAGAATTATCACAATATGTCACAAAAGATCTTCACAGTATGTTTTAGTCTTAAGAAGATTCAGACAATTAAAACGATTACCTAAATTAGTTGAAAACTATTTCAATAAACTATTAGTTGCGATTAGTCAATTCATTTGCCCAAGATCAAAGTACGAACAGATGGTTGGAGGACTGTCAAGACCAGGACCATACAGTAACGTTCAAAAGGTTTTGTTTTAAATGATCTGGTTGTAAATCTCTTCATTTAACCCATCCACAGTTAATACATAATACAAAAGGATTAGCTAAACACCTCATATTAAACTACTAAATAATTTGTCGCTGTGTTCGCAATTGGCAACACCTCTCCAAGACAAATTGATACATGGATCAATGTGTTTATTTATTTGTGTTATGAAAACACAAATATATAAACACGTTCGTTTGCTACAGAGTTGAAATCGAAGGTATAGCTTAACTTACCAAAAGAACCTCAGAAAGAGGAGGACAGGTCGCGATCCAAATTATGATAGCGTCTTAAAGCGTAAAGTTCCGGGAGAACTTTTAGTGATGGTTTGTGTGGGATGTTTGGTGAAAGCCGCTTGCATTCATCGTGGCGTTTCCGCATGTGCATTTGAGTGACGTGGCAGGGTGAGGGCGCAGTACGATGACGTCACTACGCTATGTATCTCTCCCCCTTAACTACTTCCCATAGATGTATCATATATTTCCAGACTGTACATGAGCATGACGAACTTAGAGAATGAGAGAAAAGAGAAACACCTCAAAGTTAAGGGATCAGCAGCTACATGTTATTTAGTTTGAACCAATCCAACTAATAATAATTTGTTACCTCAATGTAAATCTTTTTAATAGAACATTAATGCAATTAGTTTGTGTAAAAAAAAAGGGACTTATCACTGAATACCTGCTTCAGATTGTGTTTTCTGTATTCTGAATATTTTGAAAACATTGATTTGAATAATATTACAAGTGTAAAACGATGAAAAGCAGAAGGAAACCAAATAATTGAATTGAAATTGCCTGCCTGTATTCCTTAGATTGCAGTTATAGTACTTTCCACTATTCTAAACTGAACTGACGGTTTAACAATTGCACTTATTTACCCTCAAACTGGATATTAAAATAGAGGAATCCAAATATGTAAGTAACACATTTGAGTCAATAAATACATAAAAAAATAATTACACCCACCCAGTGTATACAGACAAAGTTTAATATCTTGGAGTGAGGCTCCTGAAAAGTAACAAAAACAATGTTGTGTTTCTGGTTTTGTCAGTTTATACTGGTAAATGTTCTCGATGCCATTTATTTAACATTCTTTAAATTCAGGCTTTACAAGACAAAAAAAAAAAACATTACAGATGTTTTACAAATTGGACACAAGTTACAATTGGATAATTTTTCTAAAACATAAAATACTTCCAAATTAATAATAAAGGCGTCCCTCAGGACACCTTTATGTTCAAGAGCTTTAAATTCAAGTGCTTTCATTTAAATTTAAAATTATAATTTTGGTATTTTGAATGACTATTTTATAGTTAAAGGCAACAGGGCGGATGGTTTCGTTTCGACATTATTGCTTATCTTACAGTAAAAAGGGAGAAACAGGAAAACAATAACAATAAATCCTGTGCATGGCCAATTAATGTAATTTTTGAACAGCATTTTCTAACATTCATTTTTTGCAAGGCTCAAAAATATTAAAGTGACATTCTCTTACTCAGGAAGTAAGTAAAACATAACGTCATTAGCTTGAAAGTAAATCACAACAGGTTAACAATAACGGGCTTTTTATCACCCCAAAGACAAAACAAACAAATCTCCATCCATCCATCTTCTTCCCCTTAATCCATTTCTGGGTCAGGGGGTGGCAGTCGGAGCTGCACTCAGTTCACAGAGCACCAGCCCCCAAAACAAACAAATAGTAATAACTAAAATCACTTCAATGTGGTCATATTGAACCAAAAATGAAAGTGATTTAAAATCAGCAAAGCATGCCCACTTAGGCCAGTTCAAAGTTTTACAAAGTTCTCATTTGAAAATTGAAGGTGTCCAAAGTAGCAAATAAAAGGCTTTATAAATTGCACAAAACAGAAAATTCCAAAACACAGCCTGGAAAAAATGATATTGGCCATTCACATCAAACACATTGGTGGCCACATGACCACATGTACAGGCATGAGCATTGATAAAATACCAACCGGTTTGAGGATTAATGTAACTCTGCCTCATGGAGGAAAATGCATAATTTGCCAGCATCGCTAAAGGAGTTTCAAGGAGCAGAGCGGTTCTGCATTTGTCTTTCTGTAGCTGCAGAAACTGCTCTGTGTCTCAGCACATTCAAGTCCAATTGTGAGGCAGCTTCATCTTCAATACTCGGCAACTCCTCACCTTGATCTTCAGAACCAACGTTCAAGAATCTCCTAAAAAGATCCATAATTTTACACACCCAGAAATAACTACATGACTGTATTATGACTGTAATCCCTGTGGATGGACAACATATCCGACTGACCTGCGAGCTTCCTGAAGCATTTCTTCTTTCCTCTGTTTTAGCATCTTCTGTCTCTCATCAGCAGATTTGGAAAAGCGCCCCCCTCTGGCCTCAATATTATCTGGCTCTGTACTAGCCTGGTCTACGGCTCCACTAAACTCACCTTGTGGCTCAGAGCTGCTGTTCCCCTGTAGTGGACCTCGTTCAATGGCCTGAAATAAATTTAATTAGCATTTCAAATAAAACCCACTCACAGAAAAGTGCATTTACTTTAGTCTTTTTGACAAACCTGTGTAGGAAAAGGAACTTGAATGCGACCCTCCAAAATATTATCAGTCGTCATCTCCACAGACCTCGTCAGCTGCAAGTCCTGCATGACCAAGTACAAGGGCACTTGTGGAAACATTTCCTGAATTTGATAGGCCTAAACACAAAAATAAAAAAGTTAATTTCTTGTAAATTTTGAAATCAAATGTAGAACCTACCATCGCTGTCAGCTGGGAATTGTTTGCTTGAGCAATACCCAATATATTTGTTGTGTGCATAACTTCAACAGAAAAACTTGGCAGCCAGCTTGCAATGCGGGACCCTGAAAACAAACATTGTAAATAAAATATGGCAAAATACGGCAACCACATATTCTGCTTACCATCAAAGTGGAAAAAGTGGTTATGTTGGTTAATGTGTGGTCTGGCCTCTACAGCCGGCCCTGCAGCTCCCATGTTGTCCTCCAGAGCTGGACCTTGCTGTTGGTCTCTTGTTTGAACTCCATCACCATTTATGTTTAATGATTTTCTGCATGTGGGACACGACGTGTCCTGCTCAAGCCAGGAACGCAAACATGAACTAAGAAAGCAGGAAGTGTCACATATAACCTCTCATAAATATTATATGTGTAAGGTGTCAAACAAATCCGGGAACATAAGATAAATATATTGTACTTGTGAAAGAGATGTCCACAAGGAAGTTTACGAGCTGTAACCATGGCATCCCAACAAATGGCACAATCATCATCATTAGCAGCTAGCTCTTCAGGAGTGGCAACAGCAAATCTGTTAATGTAGAGCATTTCATTTTCAACATATTTAGCAACATTGGACCATACAATTTGAAAAACTAAATAGAAAAATAAATGACCTGGCTTCCATGTTGTTTATGACACGTAGATAGTTCTTATGTCTGCGGAGGCGGCGCTGGACTTCATGAAATAGATAGCGCAGCTGCATAAATATGACCAAACTTGCCATTGACAACCAAATGTTACCAAAAAGCTAAAAGTAAATATGAAGACTTCAGTTTGAGCAAGTTATAAAGTCATTACATGATTTCAATGTCGTTTGGCCTCACCAGCATATGGATGTGATGCATAAGGTCAAGGAAAAGCATAGCTAACTCCATGATGAAGTCTGTGTAATAGACATACGTTCCCTTACTTTCCCAAGTCCCATCATGGCTAAGATCCCACAAATGAATTGAATAGCTGTAGAAAGCACAAAACAACAATGGGTGGTTGGTTAGACCAAGTAAGTAGACAGTAGAAAATAACTGCAAAACAAATAATATTTATGAAAATAAATATTTGACTCTTACCGCATTATGACATGACCAGTACGGACTGTCACCAGCAAACACTGAAACAAATACGAAAAATAAATTAAGTTAATTTTATGTAATTCACTGTTTATGGACTTAAATACAGGGAACACACTGTTGCAAGCTCAGGTGGAGCACTGTTCTTTTTCCCTCCAGAGGTTTAGTGATCAAATTCACTGGATTTAACCAAAGAAACTGGCAGCCCAAATTAGCTGTTAGCTATATGGCCTTATGAACATGGCATCGGTTGCCTGTAACAATGGTTTTTGTTCTGTCCCTGTCATAATAAAATGAGAAGCTTTTCTGCTTGCATCCATTATCTTGTCCTTTCGGTTATTAGCCAAAACACATGACCATAGATGATGGTGGGATGACTGATTGGTAAATCGATATCTTTGCCTTTCAACTTATATCCCTCCAATACAGTGACTGCATCACAGGAACACGACCAGAAACACTTGTCTTGGGACGGTGCAGTGCGGCCACAGGTCATGCAGATTTTTGTCGACCCGATCTAAACTCAAATCACAAGTGGTGTGAATTAACATGGATTGTCAGATCCTCACCTCTGCTGCCATGAAGGAGAGAGTGTGCATGCCATGGGAAGCACCAAGAAGTCCACAGCCAACAGCCAGTCCACAGCAGTCCAAGAGCAGAGAGACTAGCAGACACAACACTCGCACATGGCTATTCATGGGTGTGGAGGGTGAAAATGACAGCTGTAAACATTGAAAAATATTATTTGGGGGCACAACAAACAAACGGGGATTAAGGAATTTGGAATGTATATACTGCATTTTACCACCTGACAGAACTACAGCAAGTAATCAAAACAGCACTAAGGTTGAGACATTATTATACACTGCCAACAATCTATTAGATGTAAACTGACGTTAATGTTTGAACCCACGTGTGTGTGAGGGGCGACAGTAGCTCAGTTGGTAGAGCATTGGCCTTAAGGCCAGAAGGTCGTGGGTTCAATTCCCACCTCTGCACCTTCTCCACCGACTCCCACTGATGACTGCTGTCGTTGTGTCCTTGGGCAAGACACTTAACCCCACTTTGCCCAAAGCCCCCACTGAAAGATCAAGGCTATGCTCACAGTCAGAGAGCAGCCGTCCTCCTGTGGACTCACCACCTGCAGAGGGTCAGTGAGGGGCTGGTGCTATGAGACTTGGGTGGCATCTCTGACTGCCACCCCCCTGACCCAGAAATGGATTAAAGGGTAGAAAATGGATGGATGGATGGATGACGTTAATGTTGAAGTATGTAAAAACTTCAGTTAGAATAAACCGCAAAACATAGTTTAATTTTGTTGAAGCGGTTGGATCTTCTTTCCATGAAGAAGCAAATTTGATACTAGGAAGAAGGAGGCAAACATTCAAGTCTAACACCTATTAATAGAAGTGAAGGATCAAGCATGAGCTTACTGGGGTTCAGCAATGTAGTATGCATGATTATGAGGACATTCACTGAAGATTTGTTTGCGAAAAAATTATTAGATGGATTTATATTCCCTTATTCACTCAAAAAATTATATCTGATAAATATATATACTTACATATTCAAATCTGTCTTTGCAGAGCTGGACCATAAGGTGGAGAAAGACCAGTGCGGAGAACCATAAACACCACATGACAACTTCCTCTACTGTCTGCACATTTAATACTCCAAAAATGAAAATAAATTTGTAAAAAATAAAGTTCCAAAACTTGTCTTTCAAGTGCTGTGGAAAAAGGACACACAATTAGATGAACACAAATGTAGCCGATACAAATAACTTTTTTGTTAAACGCAGACCTACCTGCTTCTCACTAACTCTTAGCGGTCCAAACACTACATACTGAATCACCTTAGCAACTAACATCAACGAACAACAGAAAGTGTTTACCAAAACCTGCCAAAATAAAAGGTGGTTAAATGTACATAAAGCACAGTGAAATGTGTTACCAACTCAAATGCATGGGACTCACCCAGACAAAAAGACTGTCTGTAACAAGGTACCACAAAACGGTGGTGGCCAATTCTCTGTTACTTATGTCATTGTTCAACTGATCAGGCTCAACTTCAGAAAGGGCAGGTGTTTCCTCAGCTTCCATAACTGTAAAACCTGGATCGGTGACTGTAGTGTAGGCACTGAAGATGCTCCCAGCAAGCAATGCTACACTCAGGGCAGTGTATGTCTGCAGGCTGGGCCACGGGAATCTTTCCAAAAACAACAGCATTTTGGCGGTGTGTAATATTCAGGCCCTGTGATATGAAGAGTAGGCAGAAAGAAACACGATAAGAATAGCTAAAAAACAGCAGCAGGCATTTCAATGGACCATATTGATCAGGGGTTCCCAAAATTGGCCCAAGAGATCAATTTTTTTCTGGCGAAAGAGTGTTTCGCAAAAGAATGTGAAATTGAGCCCACTGCAGTAGTGTCCTTAAAAAGGGGGGAAAAAAATCAACCAACTTTCTTAAAGAAGATTCACCTTTTACATACAAAATACATCACAGCTGGCTAAAAAAATAGGGCATCTCTAGATGGAGAGCTTTCTCCATCTAGAGATCTTTTTTGCCAGATTCTTGTATGAAAAAAAGTCAAAGTTGTAAAATGTATAGACTTATAACCAAATCACATATTTATAGAAAAGGACCTGAGAAACGAATTAAAATCAAATTAAAATCCAAACAGGCACCATATAGCGTTAGTTCATAGAGTAAATAGAGTTTCAATAATGAAAATTGATCTTGAATTGTCAGTTTATGTGGCTACATTGTGAAATCAGGAGTGCATAACAGACACCAAAGAGTTCCATAACACAGTGTTAGTGAGCAGCTGGGGAAAAGCTGACAGCAAATGCTAGGCTGATCAGAAGCTACTTATGGGCATTACCCAACAAGAAGCCTTAAGCTAACGTCAGCTAACGTCCAATACCAGAGCCATGACGACATTCAACAAGCTCGCATTAAACAACGTAGAAATAGCTCATCTACTTTCTCTTTAAGGTCTTAAAGGTGAAACTCACAACTGTAGACGACTTTATGTAGTCCTAATGTCCACGTCCTGTTAATTTCATGTTCCTTCACTGACAACAACACGCCATGTTTGAGAGACGCGACAGCAACAGGAAGTGGGCCGACTACGGCATCTGCACATGCGCACTCGCGCGCGTACGTCACAAACCACTGATCAACACGAACATACACTCTGGATGGTGATGTTTTGTAAAAGAAAAATATTGTGCATACTTCTTAGAATTGCTTTTTAAGATAAAGACAGTATGTGATTAAAACCCCCACTTTGTGAAAAACTGTTCATGGGGAACTATTCCACAAATGATAAGGTTTACACAAAATTGTATTCCATATAGATTCAGATTCATGCTGCTAAAATCTGGAACAGTCTTCCTGAAAATGGGAGACAGGCCTCCTCTCTGACAATGTTTAAAACCAGGTTAAAGACAGTTCTGTTTAGCTGTGCATACAACTGAGGGATCTTATACAGTATTTGTATCTTTCTTTTTAATGTACTGTGATTATTTATGATTTTAATGCTTTCTTATTTTGTTCAGCACTTTGAGTTGCCTTGTGTATGAATTGTGCTATACAAATAAACTTGCCTTGCCATAATAGAAAAAGTTTCATCGATGAGACGGACGCACAAGCTACCTCCCCCCTTCATTATATCAATTCCACCAATCCAACACAATTCAACATTATAAACATTATAACACAAACTATACAATTCTTTAAACTGTAAATAAAAAAAAACAATTCTTTAATCATATACCAAAAAAAACCCCTCATACACAAAACAAACCCCCTTAAATTTCATAATCAACTTACATATACCCCCAACAAATTACCACAATATAACCACTAAACCAAACTACATTCAATTTCACTTCCAAATACTTTTATCCAAATAATAATAATCTAAAATCACCACCAACTATACCCAAAATTATTCTCCAGAATATTCCCCATACCACTAATTAATTTCCATACAAATTACCCCCCCCTTTCCCATAATTTATAATCATCTTTATTCAAATCTCATTATAAGTAAAAATGTTTAACAATCATTAGTAATCCAAACCTTTACACATATTTTCTTCCAACCCTTCACAAACCATTCTTTATCTCTACCATCCCATCACGTGATTGAACAATTAACCGACATGTGATAACTTTTCACTTCTCTTATGGAACAAGTGAACTATCTAACAATATTTCAAATTACATCACTATTAATCCATTAATATCATAACTTATTCCCCCTCAACTATATCCCAACCACTTAAATTAACTATTAACAAATATAACTTACACAATATCATAAAACCCACTTACACATTTTATTATAATATTTCAAACCAACCTCTTCCCCACCCCCCCCAAATCCTACAAACAATATCTATACCCACCACTTCCCCATCACATAAAACCATCACAAATACCAAAACACCCATACCACTATCCACAATCCACAAAAATACACCCAATTAACAAACCAAACAAACAAACAACTATTCACCAACCCCCATTCAACCCTCAAAAAAAATAAAACCCCCTTACCAAAAAAAAAAAAAAACAAACCCAATACAAAACCCATCAAACAATACAAATAATATACACTATTCAATCACTAGATACAACCCCATACAACAATTACCCAAAAACCAAACAACCATCCACCAAACACAAATCCCACACACTACACCACAATAACATACCACCCCCCCCCCAAAACAATCCCTAAACATCCATACTATCACCCCCTAACCCCCAAACACATCCCTCCACCATCAATTAACCCACCTACATCAAATCCCATCCTCCAAACCACCCACCCCTTATCCAATCCCACCAACTCCTCACATAACACCTCCTACCCCCCCCCCCCCCCCCCCCCCCCCCCCCCCCCCCCCCCCCCCCCCCCCCCCCCCCAACCTCATAAACCTATCATAACATCTCCCTTTACCCATAACCCTCCCTATCAATACACCTACCCCCCACCCACCCATCATTCCTAACCACATCCTAAATACTCCCCCAAACCATCTTATACAAAAAAAGTATCCCAACCTCTATATCACCAACACTCAACCATAAAAAATATTACTACAAAGCTATTTCCCCCTAATACTCTCACCCATCATCCAACTATAAAAAAAAAATACCCACCCACCAACATCCCACCAACAAAACACCCCAAATCCCAATAAACACATCCACCCATTAAACCACCACCCACCCACTACCACTACCCCCCCCTTCATACCCATAAAACCCACCCCCACCAAACCCCACTACCCATTCACCCACTCCACCACAAAAAACCACCACACCTAATAATAATATCTCTATCATCTAAAATAACCCAAATAATAACTAATTTAATAATAATCCCTATCCAACCTAAAAAATAATCTATTACTGAATATTAGTATTCTATTACCCTCAATAATCTCTTACCTCCTTAATTGCCACCAATTACATTAAAATATAATAAATTGTCATAACATAAAAAAATACAAAACCAAAACACAAAATCAACATTTTAACAACCCAATTCATTAACTCCAAAAACAACACCATCCACCACATTCAATCTCAAATCACACCCATTCATTTCACCTAACCATACCAACACAGTATATAATTTCTACAAATCAAATCTTTATCCTTCCAATCATTTACTTAAATATCTTAACACCGACTCATCTTTCTTCACATTTGACCCTTTACTCCATAACATCATATAACCATTAAATCCTTCAACACCCCACACATAACAATAATAGTACAATTACAATCCCCAAATTTCAATCATCTACAATCATATAACCCCAACAAATACCTAATATCTCCAACATAATATTTTATAACCAAATACACAATCCAATACACAACCCCAACCCCCTTATACCCCTTCCCCCATATATAATATCAATCTCCTTCACCCCTAAAATCAATCTATAAATAATTAAAAAATTTCAATATTTAATTATTAAATTTACTAAACCACATTTTTCCTCCCCCACTCTCAAACCCTATAAAACATCAAAAACAATAAATACTTCATAAATCCACAAACCATTCCAAACAAAACCCATACTAAAATCCCCCACCAAAACATTACAACCTTATAATATCCCCTAATAAAAAATAATTTTAAAACAACAAATTATACCTATATATTAATTTTCACAAAATACATAAATTTATATTATACCTACATTAAACCACATTATCATTCTCATATCCCAACCCCCAACAAAACCAATCAATAAAAAATCAATCCACATCCTATAAATCCTACTAACCCAACCTAAAATACCCCCAAAAACCACTCCAAACCCCACACCAAAACCAACAACCAACCCAACCACATACAAACACCATCACAAAATCCCCCCAAACTCACAATTCTGTCAACCCCATCTATCATCAAATCCACATAACTAACAATCAATAACCAATTATCATATCCAAATAACCCTTACTTACTCATATTAATAACAGCTTATCATTTATTATCTTCAACATTCTTTAAATATCAATTAATCCTCCCACTAAACCTTAACTTAAATTCAATCACATATCAATAAAACCCAAAAAAAACCATCACTGATCAATCAATCATCTTCTCACAACAGGTCCACATGGAACCCAACTACTGTTACCCAAAACAGAAAGATAAAATTTCACCCCAATCATCCTCAAAAAAAGTCCTGCATTATTTTTCCCAATCAAACCACACCCCCCATTCCCCCTACCAAATTCCACAACCAAGCCATAAAAATCTAATTAATTACACCAAATCTTTCCAAATAAGTATACCACATACAATCAAATTTCAACATACATATTTAAATTGAAAATATTTTCTTAACACACCCATACCACAACTCTCCCAATTAAAGTAAAAATAATCATATATATACCCGAAATTTTAACCTATAAATCAAACTAAACTACCCAAATCCCCACAATAATTCAATTAATCCAATCTCAATTTCCAGTTAGTCAACCCTAACCAGCCAAACCATAACTAAAACCACATCAATTCACTCATGATAATAAAATCCCCTAACTACCTACATACAATCAAAAATCTTACAAAATCAATAACACCTTCACCACATACTTCCCACCTTCAAACCCAACCAAAGATACAAACACAAAAAACATCCTTCCAAAACATAATTACAACTTAATTCTACAACCCCAAACCCACCTACTCCCCCCTAACCACAAACACCCAAAAACACACCAACCCCCATACACCCACCTAATCCCCTACCCCTCCTAAACTCCTCACACCAACATATCTTCCTTACCCATCAATAACCCCCCCTAACAACCATACACCTTATCTCAACTCACCCTACATCAACTTCCTAATCCCTACCAAACCCCCCATACCAACTCCCCAACCCAAATCCCCATCATACAAACATAAAATCATACACACAATTTCAACACCCTCCATACAAATCTACCCACTCCACCACCCCCCATACCCCCATCACATAAATAATTATCATCACATATTAACCCCACCCTCCCCATCACCCCTACCAAATATATAAACAACACAAAACACATATATCTCTACCTTCTCTAACCTACCCTCCACCCTCATCCTCATTTCCCCTCCCCCCCCCTACACACCAAAACCCTCTCCTTTTACAACCCCACCTCTAATTATCCCCTTATTTACTCTTCTCTATTCTCCTACTCTTTCCTTCCCCAAATCATCACCCCCTCTTACCTCACATTCAAAAATATACCCACAAACCCCACATCTAATCCTTAAAATACTCTCCCCCAACTCTCCAAAAACACCCCTCTACATATAACCCATTATTATAACCCATCTAAACAAAACAACAACCTTAATCCACCTATCCTTTTCTCCCATCCACCCAAATAACCCCTTCAACATACCCCCATACCCCATTAAATCTAAATTATACTAAAATAACACCATTAATTTCATAATTACTATAAATTACATACTTACTCACTCCCCTCACCATACCCTTTCCCCCAACAAATATTCTCTATCAATTATCTTCACTATCTTCTATTAACTCACATCAAAAAAAAACACATTTTACCGTATTAAATTCACCATCAACCATCTTCATAACTATTCCATCACACCCCCCCCTATATTATCCACCATATCATCCCATCCTCATATCCCCTCACCCCCACTCGATCACATCTAAACATACAATCCTACCCTCCCTCAAGCACCTTACATCCCTCTTCAACCAAAATAAACAAAACAAACCCTCACACCACAAATATTAAACAAAAGTAAACTATCAAACATCTTTAACAAAATAAACACCCCCCACATATCAATAATTTGTTTATCATTAAAAGTAAATAGTATAAAATCACAAACCACCTTTCCCATCCAGCTGCAATCCCTAATACCATCATCCCCAATTATACCACATAACATATACAAATATGCCCCAAACAAATCACAAACAAGCTTAAAAATTAACCTATTGTAATAAACCATTCAATTACATTAAGATTTTAAATAACTCAACTATCATCCAATACTAATCATCAACATCCCAAAATTTTAATCATCATACCCCAACATACGATACAATCTAAATTCATACCTCCAATACATAATTACTACAACAATACCACACAAACTTAAAACAAAAAAATTAAAATACCAACGTCTAACATTCAAACCAAACCACATAAACCACAGTACATCAAACCACCTTTCAATCCCCATTCCAGACACTACACATTTAACACAAATACCCCTCAATCTCATCTGGAAACAACACCAACGTAACTCACTCACCTTCAATACAAAACCCCATCAACCCAATCACCTCCCAAAACCACAACCACTATAATAAATATTCCTAAATCATACAACCCAATACCTACCATCACATACTCATATTTAAACCATAATACACAAACAAAAAAATACATAAACCAATTCACCCATTAATCACACAAAATATCCCCCACCCCCCACTACCCCATCAAAACCAAACCCCCAATTTCAAATCACACAAAAAAACCAATAATAATCCCAAATAAACCCCAACTTACAACACCCCACCACCTTCCATTAGTCCAACCCAATCTACAACCCACCTACCCATACCAACAAAAATCCCTAACACAATTACCATGTTAAATGTGCTTTATAAAAATAATCCTACAACGTCTTTACTCCCACAACCAATTATATACCAACCTATCCTATCCTCAAATGTATCAACACCCCTAACTTAACCTATTAACATTGTCTTAATCTCACAGTCGAAACTTTTGTAATTAACAAGCCTTACCAATCTATAATACGCATCAGATAGTTACCCAATACATTCTTGAAAAATTTTTTCCTATAATAGTTATACATAATCAACATACTAACAATTCAAAACTCCAATATCCACCACCACTCAACCCACCCACCACCCACCCATTCAACTCTACACACTTTAAATCCCTACCATCCCTCCCCCCCCCCCCCCCCCCCCCCCCCCCTATATCTTTTCCCCTACCACATACCCCCCCCACCCCCCCCCCTTATCAACTATTATCCAATCCTTCCATCCCTCACTTCAATATAATCAAACCATACCCCATTCCCTAATCACCACCACAAAACAATTTTATCAATACCAACCACACACCACATATTTCCAAACTACTCAATCACAACTCATAACTCCACACCTCATACCACAACCTTATCCTTCCTCTCTTTCATCCTTATCACCTACCAAACATCCCTATCAACCCACACTAAACCTTATTCTCTCTCTAAACCCTCATCCATCTACACTCATCAATAACTCACCCTAAATTGCACCTAAATAAAATCTTCCATCCAATAACTACCTCCCATATCCCTAATTATTTATACCCTATATCTCACTCCACTTCCCCATACTCTCCCCCAACCTCCCTTCCCCCCAACCACCCCAACCCCCTATCCACACCCCCCACCCATATCTCCAATCCTAAATAAATTTTTCATCTTAATATAAAACCTAATTAAATAAAAAACTAAACCCACATAACCACACAACCAACACAACCCACTACCACCAAAAAAAAAAAAATACAACACCAACAAACCCACAACATATATATTTTTAAACCAAACACCATCTATAAACATACCAAAAATATTCAATCTCACCCAACCCCCACTCCCACCACACCAACCCACAACAACCCAACCCCCCACAAACCACACCCAACACTCCCAACACATCCTCCCCCAAACAAAATCCCCTCCCCCCCCCCCATCACACAATACAAATCATATATCTCATCCCCCATACCCAACCTATATCACATCTAACCAACAATAACAAATCCAAAACTTAATCATAATCAAAAAATCAAACTTACAACAAATAACAACCAAAAAAAAATCCCCACACCATCACCAATCCCTACAAAAATCATACTCAAAAAAATCCTCCCAACCTTACACCTACCTTTAAAACAATACAAATATAATACCCCTAACCCCTTTAAACCCCCCCCTCACCATAACCAATCCCTCCTCCTCATCTCCCTACCCTACAAACATCCATTTTCTTATATAAACAAAAATACATTCATTAATTAATCAAAATACATATCAAAATAATACAATTATTACACCCCCCTTACCCCCCCTCACAAACATACATCCCCCCCCCCCCTCATTATTCCTTCAACACACAAAAACACACCCACTAATAATATTCCAATAATAATATCTCTAATCAACCCCCATTCTTAAAAAATTCCCACCCTACTCTCACAAAACAAAACCCAATATAAACCCCCCCACATACCCCCCCCACTACCCACCAAACAAAACACCCCCCTCCCCTCTCCCCCCCACCCCCCCCCCACCTATACCATCCTCTTCCCTAATCTCATAAACCCACTCTCATACCTACCCTCAATTAACTTATTATACCCCTATACCTTTCCCCCCCCCCACACAAAAACCTCAAACAAAACCAACCTTTTCTCCCACCATCCAACATCACATCAATCCCCCATCACTAATCCAATACCCCCAATTCAAATCACCACCACTACCCACCCCCCCACCCCCCTCCACCTAAAATATCCACATCACAATCAAAAAAAATAACACCCATACATCATATCCAATAAATACCCCCCCCACCCCCCCCCATTCCCCCCACCCAAAAATCAAATACAATCAACCAACCACAAAACATCATCTCAATCAACATTTAAATATACCACACAATAAAACCATATCCAACCATTTTCCTCCCTACATAAAACCTCAAAACCATACCTCATATTAACATCCATACCTATATAACCCATCCACTCATTCTCCTTCCCCCCCCCACCCCCATCACCCCACCATCACCACAACAACCCCAACCACATCACACACAACACATCAAACAACATACTATACCCACCCCACCCCCTCCCCCAATCAACCCACCCAATCCACCCAACCCCAACTCCCCTATACCCTCTCCCCTCCCAAAAACAAACCCTTACACAAATTCAACCTCTATCCTATTCTAATACCTAACCAAAACTACCACTATTACCTATCCCCTCCTCCCTACTTCTCCTCATTCTTACTACCCAATATCAACCTCCCCCCCCCCCCATCCCCTTTCTTCACCCCCTTTCCCTACACTCCTCCCTCACATATCCCTACTACAACTACCCACTAAACCACATTCCAATCCCATATCTTTCCCCCATCATCTAACCTACACCCCATTCCCCATCTACTACTATTCTATCATATCTATCAACCTCACACTCACCATAACACACATCCCCCCCTAAAAATCAACCCAAATCCCTCCCCTCCCCCCCTCCACTACTCACCCATATCCATACCCAACACATCCATCCCAAACCAATCATACCTACTAAACAATACACCCAATAACCCTCTAAAATCATAATTCATTAAATACAAAAACCCAACCCCATACAATCTTCCATTTCAACCCACATCTCTCTCCCATCCCTTAAATCTAATACACAACAAAATCAACACCCATACCCAAACCACAATACCTACCAAATTAAACATACAACCCCAAAATTACAAAACCCTTCATAACAATTTACCCCACAACATCCATCACATAAACTCATACCTTCCAAAAACAACCCCCTAACCATATCTACCAACACCTCCCCCCACCCTACAAAAAACTCACCCCATCATTCCCTTCCCCTTACAACCCCCCAATAAATATATCTACACTCCTAATATTTCCAAAATCACCTCCCAAATAACCCAACCAAAAACTTATCTACCTAAATATACATTAATATTACAAATACAAAATATCCCCCACAACAACAATCCTCACCACTATAACTCCCAATCTCCCACCCCTTTTCTACAATCAAATCAAAAAACCCAAATTTTATAAACACAACAATATAAATTAAAAATAAATTTCCAAAACAAACCACACAAAACACCATACCCCCTACCCCCTACAATCAATCCCCCATAAACACAACTTTTACATCTCAAATCCCAAATTTTCCACAATACACAACATCACCATAAACCAAACACAATAATATTAAAATTACAATTACAATTAAATCATTTCAACAATACTTTATATAATCTACCTACTTAAAAAATACCCTCCCCACTCCAATTCACAAAAACAAAATAAACTAAACATACATATCTTCAACTTTAAATACATTCATTCCCCAAATTCAATAAAAACAATTAACTACCATAATTAACCAACCCCTCCCCTACAAAAACACCAAAATAAAACATCAATAACCCCCCTAAAAATAATTTCTTCTAAATTACAATAACATTACATAATTAACTTCCACCCCCCCACATAATTCCAATTTCCACACCTCCCTAACAACATTATCTAAACAACCCAAACATTCTACAATCAATTATACCTACAATAACAAAAAACACTTCCACATCTTACAAACAAATTCCCCTTTACACAACAACATCATACACCCATCCTCATTCAATCACATACATCCATCATTCAATCCCATTTAAAATACAAAACCCACATCAAACCCCAAACCCATCACCCCCCCAACCAATCACTATAATTTATACCAACCTCCCACTAACACACTAACAAAAACAAAAATATACAATCTTAAACATTAAAATCCCAACAACCCTCTTAACCTTTACCATTCTTTATCTAATCCAACACATCCCCCCCTACCCATTATATTATAAACTTATTCCATCCATAATCCAATCATCCTCCCCTCCATATTAATCTATTCCCTACCCATCTCTTCTCTTATTTATCCCCCACACTCCCCCCCTCTTCTAAACCACAATATCTCTAAACACCCTTCTCAAACCTATCTCTCCCCCCCACCTTCTCCCCCATTTTACATTTTCCAAACTCTTACATCTTTCTCCATTCCCCCCCATACCCTCCCCCCCCCCCATACTACCCCCTTCACCCCCTTAATTCCCATTTTCCAAATCAATATCCCCCCACATAAACACCCATCACTATCCCAAACATCCCTAACCCACACCCCACCCCAATTCCCCCCACATCCCCCCCCACATCATAACACACCCTACAATACTTAAATTCCACTCTACTCATCATCTCATCCCCAACATTCCCTCGTAACCCCCCCATCCTACTCAACCCCCACATAACTCCACCCTATCAACAAACCTCCCACCTTCTTTTCCCCCCTCCTCCCCCCTTCCAACATCATATTCCCCCCCCCCCTTTCCCCCCCATCCCCCATCTAATCCCCAACTCTTCCCTAGCTACATTATCCACATCATACCTCTAATATTAATCCCTCTCCAAAACACACACCCCATAAACCCTCTCACCCACCAAAAAACATTTATCCCAAATCTATATTAAACCCCACCTCTTCATCCTACCACCCCCCCCCTCCTCTCTATATATTCCCAAATACAACAATTCATCACCCCCACCAAATCACCACCCCACTCCCAACCCTCATCCCTACCCCACCTTATCCCAACCATCCCCCCCTAAATCCATACCCAAAACCAACACATAATCCTTTATACCTTCCCCCTCCCATTCTTCCTCCATAATACAATTAACATCATTAAACCCCTCCCACTCATTAAATCCATTCAACCTATTATACCCATCCCAACAAAAACCCAAAAACCATTTAACCACCATACTCACAAATCCCCAAAAAACCCTTTTCTTTCACTTTTAATACACATACATCTCCCATTCAAAAATCCTTTCAAAAATAAAACAAATAAATCATCATCTCAAAAATCATAAAAACACTAAAACCCTCAAAAAACCAAATCCTCTTTCCCCTACATTCCCACAATCAAACCTCACCATCCAAATATAATCAAACTTCCCTTCCCTAACCCTTTACTCACCCCTTCCTCTCTCCATTACCACCAATCCAAACACATTCAACATTTACAACCCCCTTTAAAACAACTAAACCCAACTTTCCAACTACCCATAAAACACACACACTACAATAACTCATATTTTCAAAAAAAACCCCATACTAAACAAAACAACCCCCCTTCAATAATTCCCAACACAATTACATATACCCCCCCACAAATTCCCAAATTCACCCCACTCAACCAACAACATTCCAAACACATCCCAAATACATTTATCCCCACATACAAATAAACTACAAAATCCCCCCCCTCATCCCCAAAAATTTCACTCCATATATTCCCCAAACAAAACTCATTCCCTCCAACTTACCCCCCCTATCCATAATATCTCCCCTCCCTTAAATCCCTCACCAATCTAATACCCAACATAAACCCCCTCCCCATCTCACACCACACCTTTAAACAATTTTCTACCCCATACCCCCCAATCATAATTTACCCCAACCCTCCCCCCCTATCCAATCCCCCATCACCCTACCTTTCACCCCATCCCAACAAACCCCCCACTTCCCACTCCACACACCCACCCCACAAACCCTACTCACCCCCCTAATCCTCCCTATCCATATCCTCACTAATTCCCAATCAAAATATCCCAACCACTTAATTAAATTAAACACCAATAACAAACAAAATCAAATCAAATACACAACATTTCACATAATCCATATCCCTTACCCCACCCCAACCTCTCCCACCCCCCCCACTCCTAAACCAATATCAATACCCCACTTCCATCACATTAAAACCATAAACCACCAAAACCACCATACAATATCACACAATCCACACAAATACCCCCAATAAACAAACACAACCACAAACAACTATTACCCCACCCAATCAAACCTCACATAAAAAAAAACAACACATACCAAAAAAAACAAAACATACCCACTACCAAAACTCCAAACTACAACTCCTACAACCATTCACCTCCTCAATACAACCCCCTAAAACACATACCCCCACCCCAACCCCAACATCCCCCCACACCCAATACCACACATCCACCCCCTATAACATCCACAACCCACACCCCAAAACAATCCCTTAAAATTAAATAATTAAAAATATCAAATTCATAATACACCCGACAAAATAAATTCAACCACACTACAAATACATTCCCCTCATCCAAAAACCACCCTTATCAAATCCCATACACAACAATACTATCATTAAAACCTCCTACCCTACCTCATAAACTCCTCATACATTCATTACCCATAACCCCCTTCCCTCATAATCACACCCTACCCCCCCCCACCCCTTAATACATACACACATCTCAAATACTCAAACAACACCAATCCTTATACCCAAAAATCTTATCCCCCCAACTATATAACAAATCCAACATAAAAAATCGTCTAATATACTCTATTCTCCATCCCCATTACATCACCCCACCTCATCCCAACTATAAATTAAAATACCCACCCACAAACAGCACTAACCACCAAACAACCCCAATCCCCACATCAAACACATCCACCACTTTTACCCCAACCACCACCCACTCAACCCCCTCACCCCAACTTCTTACCCTACAACAAAACACATCATAAACATACTTAATAAATTCAACACCTCAAAAAACAAAACCACACCACCTAATTAATAATCATGTATATATAAGCTTTATAGAACCAAAACCCTAATTAATACTATTATAAATGATTAATGATACATCGTATATTTATCTTATTACTATTGGAGGTTTACTATGTAACCTATTAATTCATCTTAAAGCATAATGGTCACAAATTCCTAAAAGAATAAAATGTCCAAAAAAATTATTAAAAAAAACAAACATAAATAACCTAATGAACAAACCAATGCTGTATCGCCACACCAAACAATAACATCAACAAAACCATTATATACTATAATAACCCATTTAAATTTTCACCCTAAAAATTTCAATCTATATAGAATTTATGCTACAAATTTCATATGAGACTTAACCAATCCTTATATTTAATTTAAATCATAACTAATCTCAAACTGACCATTTCCCCCCAAACTCATAATCATCATCAACCATCGTACTGAAAGTCTTATAAACATCTCGAATCAAGACTTTAAATTTAACATAACCAATGAGAAAATATGGAGCAATGCTGCTGTTCCAACACATATACTATGTGAAGCCAATCCATAATGAACGTTTGTACAACTGAATTTAACTTATGCAAAAAAACACAACATTACAAAAACTTAGCTTAACAAATATTAAATAACAATATCACTCCCCTAAAACAATCTCTATCAATCCAATAACACAATATCAACCTATTACTAAACTTTCCAAAACAAACCAATCTTTAAAACAATCTATCAACTCAAATATCACACGACAACAACAAATCCAACAATAAAATCCAACTAACAATAATAAAAAAAACACAATTCCTAAATCCCCCCCCAAAAAACCATACAACCCCCCTAAAATCTCCCTCCACCACATCCAAATCCACAACCACATATCAAAACTCTTTCCATAATCAACTTACCCTAATTAACATTCTACCTATACTTAAATATAAACCCATTATACCTTCTAATATCCCCCCCCCCAACCACCAATCCACTAAAATCAATCCAATCCAATAAATCACTAACCCCCAACCCCCACTACCAACAAAACCATAAAACCCAAACCCACACCCAACAACCCCCACACCCACACATCCAAACCCCCCCCATCAATATCCCCCCCCCAAAGTACCCCATCACATTAACACCATATCATAAAATAATATAAATATCCACATAAATAACAAACCAGAACACATATTCCTATCCCCAAAACACCCATCATCACCAATTAACTCACCTCCTAAAATTTCCTTACCTTACCCTCCCATTAAATATCTATTTATCCTCCCCCACTAACCTAAATTCAAAACCCCTATCCAATAAACCCCACAAACCCCACCATCTCCAATCCCCCTATAAACCCCCTGATCCCATTTTACACCTACAATACCCACCCCTACCTCTACCAATTTCCCCCCCCCCCCCATATCACACCCCAAATATCAAAAATATCCCCCCACACAAACCCCCAAACCAAAATCACCCCACATCATTCCAAAACAATCCATCCACCATCACAATTCAATCACCCCCAATACCATAAATAATTACAAACCCCTCAAAATTCCCAACATATTCCATCCCATCAAAACCCTAAACAACCCCTACCACCACTAACTCATAAAAAAACCACCAAACCAAACCTCCAATAACACAATAAAACACCCAATAAACTTACACCACAACAAATCCCTTCCCAAATACCAACACCCCACCTTAAATTCCCAACCTCCATCCAAACATCCTCAACCCCCCCAACCCTACACTCCTATCCAACAATCCCCCACCATACCCCCTCATCCCATCCCCCAATCAACACCACCACACCCCAGCCCCCCCATTCTTACCCACATTTCAAACAAATAAAACCCCACACCCCACCACCCTCACAACCTCAATACACATCAAATATACCACCCCAAACACCCTACTCAAAAAATTATCAAATATCTACCCAAAATCAACCCATCCCACATTACAAACACAATATCCTACACCTCCTTTAATCCAATCATTCCATCTGTGCTTCTTTAAACTCAATTACCCTACTACTCAACCTCCCAGTCATCTCAAACTAATCCCTTACAACTCTAATCACTAATAACTAAACATATCATCAATTGCCATAACATATTCACCATTAATACCAAACCTAAATCATAATAAAAATCAAAACATCAATTATTTTTACATCAATAAAACAAAAGTCCACACAATGCTCCTGTTCATAATTAAATAATTCCATACAATTTGTTAACACCCACGCCAAGACCCAATTAAAAAAGTTTTGATATTCTCTTTAAACTTTGTGATATAAAATGGTTTTCATCCCCCTCAACCGCATACTCATAGATGACATACGCCACAGTCTTAATATACATAATCATGTACTACACCTATCTACCTGTCCTCGTCAGGAGGCGCCGCCGGAACGTTTACTCTAACTAATATTTCGGATATGACTGCTCACAGAGTTAAGCTATCGGCCTTTATTTATAAAATATAAACCAAAATTCAGTCATCAGGTCTAACAGTCATATACATATATCATAACTAAATCCAGTATGTTTTCATGGAAGTGTTCCATGAGTTTTATTTTATTATTAAACTGTAGCAAAGACAGGGAGCAAGAAAACATAATTTACAAATCCCAATGACCCCCAAAGTCCAACCTTGTAAATTAGGTTTAGCTAACTTATATGTCAATGAAAACTACTTGTGTACTTCATCTCGCTCATACCGCTAATGACCCGTTACCCATAAGTTCTACTCAGAAATGGTCGCTGCACGATCGTCCGAGGAAAACTCCACATCCCAAATTACATCTTGGTGAGTCGATTTTTGGCTCCTGCACCTCTGCCGCGCAGTTGTGCCTCTCTAACCAAGTCAGCTTTTCCACATAGAAGCCCACATGCGTACCCGCTAAACAGCAACACCCATTGCCATTTCATATTACATACAACGCAACTCATGATCTTTCTGAACTATGCTTAAAAGTTTTCAAAACCAAAACCTCAAACCCACCATATATAAACATACACCAACGAAAATTATTTAACAAAATGTTAAACCAAACACTGAACAAGAATGATTTTTAGCATTTAAATTTAATTAAAAATCTTAATAAACAAACCAAAACTTCCAACATCCCAATCCAATCCAATAACACCCCCATCATCCTATTATCAACAATATCAAATACCCAAATTCCACCCACACTTACAAATCACTTAACAACATAAACATACAAACCACCCATCAATAACTTTAATTTTAATAACTCAAACCAAACACCAATTATAATCATCCAATCCCCAAAATTTTAATCTTCATCCCCAACATACTTAACATTAAAACATCCAACCCACATACTATTTATCACAATCAAACCCCCACAAATAAAACAAAAAATATCCTTAAATAAAAAAATACTTAATTTATTAACATTCCAACTATATTCCCTCATTAAATCCCTACCCACATTCCTCACTTATTCATCACTAACATAACACACAATCCTCAACTCATATTACCCACCAACACCTTCTCAACTCAATCTTCCCATATAAAAACATCCCTACCCCATACCACTACCAAATCCACAAAAAATATAATTTTATAATCCTAAATCATAAACCCAACTTACCCATACCCTCACAAACCCCTCCTCATTACACATAATACCCAACAAACAAAATACATAACAATTAACCCCTCTAAGCCCACACTAATCCCAACCCAACCCTCCCCAATAATAAAACACACCATATTGAATATATCATAATAAACTACTCCAAGGTTTTACTTCAAATTAACACATTACACATCCCCCCCCTTCCAATATATACCCAACAAACTCATACACCCCCACATAACCCACCCACAACATTTCCACCACCAATAAATATTCACCAAATTTCTATAACCACTTCTCCTCAATACAATCCTCCACCAACACCCATATTATAAAAACTTCATTACACGAATTTTTATACACAACCTACCTAATTTACCAAGTTACAACTTAACTTTACACAGTATGTTCATTTAACCATCCCCAAACCATCAATTCAACTCCTCATCAAACTTTACCAATAACAGACCATGTAAATATCCACATCATTAATACCTACAAAAAAGATATACCCAATTCTTCACTACATGATAATCAAAATAATAATAACAATCAAAACATCAAATACTCTACTAAATGATTTACGCCAGTCAGCCCCAGACCAGCTGTGAAGGGTAAAAATTAAAACCATCCCCCCCATACAAACCCACCCTTAGCACTATTTTATACATTTACTTACAGTACAGCAAGTACATTTGCATGCTTAACATTACCATCCAGAATTACAAACACAAAAAAATTCTAATTATCAAAAAAAAATCCCAAATTTTTTAAATAATCCTAAAATCAAACTATAAATCACACACCCCCTATCACCCTTTCTGACTAACTTTATAGCTTAACATCATCAATCCCACACCGACCAATCTGCGATAATTAAATCTATTTACGGTTTTAGAGACGACGATTCACCGGATTCTGCGTCTCTAGAATTCCACTTTTTAGCTCTCTAATGTTCAGTTTTGTTTTGCGAAATGCACAAGAGACGCCATGCTACCCTACTTACATTCTTTTACCCCCTATACTTCTTTATACTATTAAATTAATCTAACACCTTCACTTCAAACCAACCATAGCCACACCACAAAACAATCTCAAAACCCTAAACATCCATATATTAATCTAATCATATAATCCCTATCTAATAATAAAAAAAATACAAACATAAAACAAAACCCAAAATAACAAAATACAACTAAAAAATATATAAAAAACTCTAAACAACACATATAAATTTATAGTATGTAACAATCACAAACACATTAATTATACATCTTCTTCTAGATGTACCCTCATCACCAAACCACAATATCACACCTACAACCAACAAATTTAACATCAAAAAACCTATAATATAAAACTTAATATTACTCATGCATAACAAACTAAATTTAGCACCGACAAATCAAATGAACTTAATTGTCCATATTTAATTTTATTATATCCCCACATACCACACACCATAATAACATATCAAAATCCTTAACATATCCACCAACTTCCATCATTTTATTTTATTAACTTAATTAAAATTAAACATAAAATTCAATCCCCACTAATAACTATATACAAAATATACTATCTATATAAACTATCTCCCTTAAAATAAACACCTACCTTATAAACAATGTCAATATAATAATACTCTAACCCACACCTAAACTTATTCAATCCCCTTTTCATCTTCCCTACCCCTACAAACATCCATTTTATATATAATTTACATAAACAAAATCAATTATGAATTACATAATTACATAATCAAAAATCACATTCTTAATTATTAACACACCTTACCCCTCACAAACATA